ATTAAGGAGATAATTCTAATTGCTTTTGATAATTAATGAAACCCCTGCAATCACTTTCGGAAGTGATTAGAAGTGTTTTATTAGCTTCCAGAAGTAATTAGAGATATTTCATTAATTACCGGAAGTAAAAAATGGTATTTCGTTTAATCTTAAATATATACTGATATTTACCTAGTTTTTATGGAAAACATGTGAGATCAATCCGAATGTAGACGTACAGACTGCAATTGAGCAATAAAATGTCGATTCGTAAGAAGCTCGAAATTTCAAGTTTACACGCCGAGCTCACTTTTTTACGCATATTTTTATAATTTTAAGAATTTTATATCAGAGTGGACTCAAGTGGATTCAAGTGGATTCATGTGGATTCAAGTGGATTCACGCGGATTCAAGTGGATTCAAATGGATTCATGGATTCATGGATTCTGCTGTTTCCCCCTTGCTTGAGAGCCGTAGTGAAAACTAGTGAAACTTTTATTTTTCTATAAGTTCGAAAGTGTGAATAGTAAAAGACGAATAATGAAATACATTTGATCTTTGTTCATCTCTAATTTAAAACCAAGTAGATCTATTTCTGCTACATAACGGTTACTCAATTCTCTAAAAATATCAGATGATAAATATAATATATATCGACATGTTCGAAGTTACAATATCTGAACTGTAATATAATTCTAAACAGTTAGGTGTGAATATATAATACATATGACTAGACTAGGAGAAACTGAATTATTGCTTCTTTTAAAAGCTTTTGGAGAAATCATTCACTATATCGTGTTTATTTATTTTAAAATGTAGATTTACAGAACCTCGCGATTAGTTAATAGCCTGCAAATCTTGAGGGTGTGGGTGTGGGTATGATTTCGGCCATACCTACACCCAACTGCATGCTTTATTTTGGAACCGGCATATATTAATATTAAGTTGTTCGAACTAACTGCTTTGAATAGTAGCAGCGGTTGCAATTGTTTGATAATCACGATTTTTAACATTGAAATAAGTATAAATCTGAACTTGAGTTGTTAATTCTGATCTTAAAATCAATCAGTCGTGTTGGCATAAGAAGTAACAAACATCTATTGTGGACTAGTGACATCATACATATATCTATGATTGCGTAAGACTATACGCGTATAGTGATAGTCTTTAAAAACATATGAATTAATATTCGTTCAATACTTTTAGTAATTCGAATATCAACTACTGATAATATAAACATGGCAACAAATTATTCTGCTGATGATATAGGTTAGAGATTTCATTTGTTTATTATATAAAAATATATTTCTATTTAATTAGAACGAATTATAAATGATTTCTATTCTCCAACATCACAATTATCTATATCTGAACGTCAACAAATGAATGCTATACTTGAAAATTCACAATATTCATCATTAGCATGGGATTTTTCATGGACATTTTTAAATATAAATAAATCAGCAAGTGTACAATTCTTTGGTGCTATGGCTCTCTCAAATAAAATTTCAAAAAACTTGTAAATTTATTTTATCTTTAATTTATTTTTATAATATACATTAAACTATTCAGATCAGAATTAGATGATAATCAAATTCAACAATTATTTCAACAACTTGTACAACGATTAATTTTCTATAATTCAATTAATTCAAAACAGATTATTATTAAACTAACTATTGCTGTAAAGAAAAATTCGAACAAAAAAAATTTTTTTATTAAAATTATATCTCATTTAGTTATGTCAATTAATTTTGAATATGATGCCAGATAAATGGAATAATGGTTTAACAGGAATTATAACTTTATTTACTCAATCACAAAATGAATTTTTACTTCAACAGGTTTATTAAATTCTATTTCGATGCATAATGTTCATTTTTTATTCTATTCTAGCCTGAAAAAGGACATTTGATTGTATTAGATATTTTAACTATACTTCCAGAAGAAGTAAGTTTATCATTTTTACATTAAAAAGCCTATATAACTGAAGAAAGTCATTAATCATTTTAATCAACATGTAGACAAATCATGAATTTTTACTCACTCTAAAAACGTCATAATACGAAAGTTCCTGTCGCCCAGATCACGAATTACTTCCATGGAATGTCCAACACAAAGCATTCAGAAAATTTTCTTTTCTATCAGACTTTGTAGAGCTTATTTCGCTGATCACTTTCGTATAAGGAAGTTTTGAACTCTATCGAGAAATGACAACGCTATCGTCAAAATAAAAAACATACTAAAAAAATTGGGATTTTAAACTATTTTACTATTTTTGTTATTTTGACGATAGTGTTGTCATTTCTCAATAGAGTGCAAAACCCCATGGAACTATTCTACTGAGACCCGGATACCCCCCCCCCCCCCCTACGGCAAACGGATACCAGATTCGTGGTCTAGATGACAAGGATCTTTGTATTATGATATTTCTAGAGTGAGTAAAAATTCATGATTTTCGATCATAATACGTAGTTCTAATTGTTTCTAGTTTTCACGTATCAATGTAACAAAATCTCGACGTTCTTCAATTCGAGTTGAACTGGAAAAAGAATTTTCAACTGGTAATCATCAACATATAATTCAAATTCTTTGTCTATATTAAATAAATTTAGTTCTGGATTATTTACAATTTATTATTTCAACTTTTAATCAAATAGATATTCTTAGTAAAATATTTTCTTGTCTATCAAAATGGCTTGAATTTGGTATATCGATTCTTAAAATTGAAATATTTTTTCAATATTTATTCACTTCGCTAAATAACCAATATTTATTTGATGATGTCTGTCAATGTCTTACTGTTATATTTACATCACCTGATGCACTTAAATATCCAACAACATTTTCTCGTCTTTTACCATATGTTTTACAACTTGAAATATTACTTGATCAATATTTAACTATAGAAAATAAAGTAAAAAATATTTCTCTATTTTGTTCTTCTATAAATTTTAATCATAAAGGAAAAAGTTGAATGTATTACAAAATTAATAACAGAATTTGGTGAAAATCTAACTCAACTTATTGTTCAAATATCGATGACACAAAACTCACAATCACAAAATTTTTGTCATCTTGTCATGGTAAATAAATTCATTTTTTTCTTTCATTGATATAGTACGGAGTGATATTAATTTAGAAATGTACTAATATGAAAGGACAATATCCAATTGAAGAAACATGTTCCGAATTAACATTTAATTTCTGGCATGCTTTAAAAGTATGACATTAAATTTACATAATTCTATTGAAATTGTATTTTTAGGAAGAAATTACTTCAACGAATGAAGAGAAAAATCAAGCAATACTATTAGAAAAATTTCGTCCTTATTTTGAACATTTAATTGAAGTATTGATATCAAAAGGACAAATACCTGAAAATGAGAATGTATTTACAAGTGAAGATAAAGAATTATTTCGATCCTATCGTTTGAATATAATCGATACAATGGTAAATATAAAGACAAACACTCAATAAAAATGATTTTATTCTAAATTTAGATGTGTATGTATGATGTTCTTGGTAATCGAGCTATAGAAGTCTTAGGCAATCATTTATTAACATCTATTGATCAAAATCAATCATGGCAGGTGAATTAAATTTATTTCTATTGAAATTCTTTTAAATCTAAATTATTGTCTATTTTAGAGGCAAGAATCAATAATTTATTTAATTGGTTCTGGTTCAGAATATATTCAATCGGATGAAAATCAAATTTTACCTTCGATTTTTTTATTGATACCAAAATTAAATTTTTCTAATAATCTAATTATTAAAACTACTCTTACAGTATTAGGTAAAAATAATTTAACAATAATAATAAAACTAAATTAAATTTGTTTTTTTTTGATAATAAGGACAATATAGTAATTGGTTAAGTAATCATCAAGATATATTACAAAATTGTGTACATTTATGTATAAATGGATTATCGAATTCTGAATTAATTGAATCATCTTCGATTGCTTTAAAAGAATTAATTAAAGAAAATCGAATATATATGTCGAAATATCTTCATGATATTTTTCCAATTATGAAAGTAATGAAAAACAAAAACAAAATCTTTAATAATATAAGTATTTCTAATTTCAATAGAATGTTCTTGAGAATGTTCATATTCAATCGAATGATCGTATTCGTTGTTTAACAATTATTGGTTATATACTATCTGTACATCCATCAAAGATTGTTATTGAATATTTAAATATTTTACTTAGTCCTGAAGTGAATAAATTACTTAATTATCTATCCGATATAGAAAATAATCAGGTAAAAATGAAGAGAAAATTTATTGAAAAAAAACTTATATTAAATTTATTTAGAATGCTATCATACGGAAAGAGAATATTTGTACAACGCTTAACTTTATCTCCGTACTTATTACTGCTATTGGCTATTATGATGATCAAAATAACGGAGTAGAAAATGAACAACAACTCAATATTAGTAATACATCTGAAGTGGTAAGAAATTCTTGTATTTTATTGAAATCAGTCAGATTCCGATGATACATTAAGTGCAAAAGTTATATCTAATTGATTAAATAGTTTAATTTAAAAAAATACATTCCAGTAGAATATATGAATTGTACAAATCTGAACTACGATGTGATAGAATGTATTGACTATCTTGAGGGTGTGGGCGCGGGTGTGTGATGAGTGGAATACTCACACGTGCACCCACACCCACACACACATGTTAGTAAAGTTGATGTTGAGAAAGTACTAGAAAGAAGATTGACTGGTGCGTTAAATAATCAACGAAGATGAGTGTGTGGGTCTGAAAAAGGAAGACAGGTACAGCAGACTAGAAATACTATCACATCCACACCCACACCCGACCAAACTCATACATATCATGTGATACATAAGTTTATTTTGCTTTTTCTTTTAAGCTATGCTGTATACTTCGTGATCTTGATCCTATTCTTCATATGATACTTAAACAGTATGCTGATGATATTCAAGTAACAGAAGTAAGAAATAAGTTCTTTTCTCATTTGATTATCTATGTTTTCTTTTTTTTTGAAAGAAAATTTGTGAAATTCTGTCACGAACAGTAACAATTTTGAAAGAATCAAGTAGTTTAATATTCAATACATTTCTTCAAATTCTACAAAATATGGGACCAAATATATTACATGTAGAATTTTTAAATTTTGTTCGAAATGTAAGTTTGAAAATTTTCTAGAATAAAAAAATAGAAAGTTTTGTTTTTAGACACTACTTCTTTTTTCAAAAGACACAAATCAATCCGTATTCAATCTTTTTCTTATTGTTCTTCATAAATTTGGGCATTTATTCAATGGAGGTTGTATAATTTACTTGTCATCAATAGGTTGTATATTATTTCAATGGTTTTAGATATACAATGGTTAAAAGATCATGTTGATACAGTAGAAGATATTGCAAATTTCTTTGGTCAAGTAAGATAATTTTTTTTATCAAGAAAATATAATTTCGTTTTTTATGTTTAGATAATTAAAAAATTACCAAATGTTATACATCATTGTCCTGATGATGCATATGTCTTATTCATTCAATTTAGTAAATATCAAAGTTGTATAGATTAATTGTAAAATTTCGTATATTATTTTAAGTGAAAAATGGGATTCAATTACATGAACAAGGAGCATTAAAAAGTATATCAACATTTATTGTAAGTTAATATAAATAGTATCAAAAATATACTTAATAATTTTATTTTTAAAAGTCAAACTTTATTGAATATACAAAATTAAATCAACGAGCGGCGGATCTTTTACAACAAAATGGTTTTGAATTTGTTCAAATTCTTTTAAAGGTTAGATAAGAAAATGCGTTAGTTTTTCTTGACTGATTGATGCGTAATTTATAGTGTATTGGTGAAACAAGTCCTCATCATCTTATTGATAGTTTATCATTACCTCTTTTTACTCTTTCAAAATCATATCTTCAATGGACAACATACTGGGTACAACAATGTTTAAATGACCCAAATTTTCCAACATCATCAGCTAAACGTCAACATCGTGAAGCATTATTGAAAATATTAACATCGTAATTTAATTTATGCAGTTTTTAATATATATATTTTTATGTGAATTATTTCTTTAATTTAGTGAACGTACAAGATATTCGAATTTTAAAGATCATATTAATACATTTTCATTAGCATGCCGTGAAACAATACCGACTTATGAAACGAAAGATTAGATATATGAAGATTATATTAAAGCTCTTAATATCGAAGTAACACAGTTAATATATACACTGTTCATCGTGTGTTAAGAACAAAAAATATGAATATTAATATATTCTACAGAATTTGTTCTTGCTTTCTACATACAATGAGAAGTCTATGCTTTGTGTTTAATAACTTGTAAATAAGAGCTTTAATATATAAATCATTCCATTGTTAAATCTAGATTTCAATGTTTGTAACGGTGTATCACCAAATGTTTTTTGTTTATTTTTTTTCTTCGTTTCTCATTTACTATCGATTTTTCAATTTCATTTGAAATATATATATATATTTAAAACATTTAATATGTTGCAGTTCAAAAGAGGAAACGAGTTCCAGTTCATACCATATGTAGTTGTACTTCGTAGATTTCATCACTCGAGATAATGGAACAATTTGTTTGTTAACCAATACAGAACAAAGAAGTGGGTGTGCGTACTCTATTCATTCCACACCCACACCCTCAAGATGGTGGTGACATCTATTGATGCTAACAATTCTTTATTACTTTCTTTCTGTTCTGTACTTCTTTCTCCATGGAGAAAGAAAAAAGAATCGACGTCGTCAGTGATAGTTTTTAGCGTCTCAAAACTTGGTTCAGAATGTATAGTAACTCTGTTTTTGTTTTATTAACAATCACGCGTAGCAGTATGATGGTGGCATAGAATAATTTATTCTATTAGGCAACCTTTTTTTTGAAAAGCTGAGAATAATGATCGACTGCTTTTATGCTCTCTAGATCAATGAAAAGTAAACAGAGGACATGTTGACGTAATAACGCCAACGGCATTTTTCTTCTGATGCATTTTTTCTGTTCACATCAATTCTTCAGTTTAAAGTTTTTTTAATTCTATAGTGTAGTTTGGCATTCACACCAAAGTCAGTCAAATTTAAGAACGTCATTATACAATTTAATTTATTTGACGAAAAATGGGTTGCACTACGGGAATGTTGAATCCATGGACAAAAGAGGAAGTCGATATACAATTAGAACAGTTAATACCCCTTCTACCACAAGCAGAATTGATGGGCGGTGGAATAATCAAACTCCGAGGATCCAGTGGATTTTTCAATCCGAATTCTCTTCTAGATCCAAATTGGTTGAAGGGCAAAATAACACCAGAAGAATATCGCGATGCAATCGATTACATTAATAGACGTACAGGTTATACTTATATTGGTCTCTCAAAGACAGTTTTACTATCAGATGTGAGACTACGTGAACAGCTGAGAACTCAAGCAGGCATGGCAGCTGTCGAAGATTTAAATAAACGTTATACATCAATTAAATTTACATATCAACCAACAGCCGAAACCGTCGTAATGAATATACTTCCATCTCTAGGACATAGTCGCCTAATCGTCGGTAATCGTTATACAGTCACATATCTATACATCGCTTTTCTTTAGTTCCAAAGAAACTTTTTTATTAAAATAAAAAGCTTATCTTGTCCAATAAAGAAAACCGAAAAACATCAAGGGTGAGGGTGAGGGTGAGGGTGAGACAAGCTGCGTTAACACGTGTTTCGACCTTGCTCAAGGGTCTTGTCAAAAAGGCTTATTATTCTGAATTAAATAATCCAAAATAGTGGAACTACATAGCTACTATAGACTACAAATGAATCTATAATAGAAGGGTGTGGGTGT